AAATACCCAGCCCATCTGTACAAAGGTGTCCCTGCCAGCTCCTGCTCCACATGACTGTGTCCTTGGGCACTTGCACTGCAGTCATTCACCAACTGTTGACCCTGGAGGCCCACTAAGGAAGCGGTGTCTTGTGCTCTTCCTGCTGTGCCCAACTGTATAAGATACTCCTGGTCCGGGTGCAGTTCTCCCTGAGCAGAGAAGTTGTTAGTTTCACTTTGGCTCCCTGTTGGCAGCTAGCTAGCCGCTGTGGGCATCGTCTTGGTTTCTCCTCTGCAGCCTGATCCACCTCTTCTGTATCACTTAATCCTATTTTCTTCTCCTCTGTCTATTTCCTCATGGTTTCTGTGTACTCTCCTATCACTTGGGTTCCTCTCCAAGCTATTGTTTCCCAGACTTCAGACACTTTGTCCTGGAAAAATTGAGTTGCTAGCACTCACTGCTCCACCATTTTGTGTACTCTTAATTGTAATTTAATCTGTGGCTTCAGCCAGGATTTTCTTTGAAGCTCATCACCAGATACTTGTAAGTTCCTTAAGATTCCTACGTTCAGATTTTTAAAACCTGACCTCATTCATTTCCTTGCCCTTAAGACTGATTAAACTTTCTAACCTGGTAAATGGTACTACTACTCAACCAGTTACATAGTAAGAAACTAAAGACTTCTTTATACATATTTTCTCTCAATCTTGACAGTTATTTGCTTCTCAGATTCCAGAATCTTGCCTTAAATATCTCTTTGGTCTGTCTCTCCATGGCATTCCCATCCCATAACTTGTCATTTGAATGACTTGTCATTCAGATCTTTATTACCTCACACATTAATTTCTAGGATGGTTTTCTTACCTTCATTGTTATTTCCTTTCATTCTTCTGTCAGCAATCAGGAGTGATTTTTATAAAACTTGGTAATTTTTATTGCCATGCTTAAAATTCTTTTTTTTTTTTTTTTTTTTGAGACAGGGTCTCACTGTGTAGTTTAGGTTGGCCTTGAACTCATTATGTAGCCCAGGCTGGCCTCAAACTTGCATCTATCCTCCTCCCTCAGCCTCCCAAGTGCCGGGATTATAGGTGTGCACCACCACATCTGATAAAATTCTTTAATATCTTTCCATTATCTTTATTAGTTTTGTATGTTTCTTGAGGATTTTAACTCTCTTTGTTTTAACTGCATTTGGCATTACTTTCTTTTCACATTACATGCTTTAGCCATTCTGTCATACTATACTTTTTTTTTTTGAGACTTGGTGTCCCTTTGTATCCCAGGCTGGCCTTGTTACTGGATTATGGGTCTCAGGGAAATTCTTTTCAGGTTCTTGATGTCCTGAACAAAGAATTGGACATGACACACAGAAAAGGTAGCAGAGTTTTAACATCTAGTTGAAAAACAAAAACAGAACATATTGAAGTATAATTTATATATAATTAATTGCATTGATTTAAAATACATAGTTTGTTATGGCTTGTATCTAGATGTATCCCTAAAGGGTCATGTGGTCATAAGTGAGGAGTTTCAAAGGTGGCTGGATTGGGGTGTGTGAATGTGGATTAAGGGTGTGGATGATAGAGGCCATACTTTGGATGTGGATGGCGCTATTCAGTAGGCTTGAAGCCTGGATAGAATATTAAGGGACAGAAAGAAAGGAGCATTGCTGCATGCTGCTTGTTGCTTCCTTTCTGCCATACTATAAATTGTTTCTCCTCTGCAATGCCTCTCTACCATGCTGCCCTGCTTTGGAGCCAGCTGACTGTATGGACTGAAACCTCTACAAACTGAGCTGAAATAAACCTTACCTCCTTTAACTTGTGGGTGTTGGGTATTTTGTCTCAGCAAAGAGAAAAGTAAGACACAGTTTGATGTGTTTTGACAGATGTAGATATTGGTGAAATCAGTCATGAATCAGTGTTTGCACTTCGTGCTTCTTTTGTGTTCATCCATTTTTCATCTCTTAGTTGTGGATTAGGCAGTCACTTTCTACTTTCTGTCACTGTAGGTTTATTTGCATTTTCTAGAATTTTATGTAAGTGAAATCATGTAGGTTCTTGTTATCTGGCTCCCTCCACACAGCATAATGGTTTTGAAATTAGCCTTGTTACATTTATTAATAATTTGTTTTATTTTGTGATTGAAGATTGTTCATGGTATGAATGGATATACATGTTGCTTATCTGTATTCTCCTAATGATGGACATTTCGGGTGTTTGCAATTTTTAGCCATCATCACAAAAGTTATTATAGACAGTTGTCATTGTGTTCTGTGGACATTTGTCTTTATGTACAAATCTTTGGACTTTTTTTTTTCTGAATAGGATTAGCATGTCTTGGGTCATTGATACAGGTATATGTTTATCTTTTTAGAAACTGTTTTTTTTTTCTAAAGTGATTATGTCTTTTTTTTATTTGTACCAACAGTATATGGAGATTCTATTCCTCTATGTTTTCACAAACACTTTATATTGTCAGTCTTTTAATTTTAACCATTTTAATGAAGATATATAGGATTCACTGGTTTTAATTTGCATTTTCTTGATAATGAGTAATGTTAGACATCTTTTCATGTGGTTCTTGGTGTTGTAAACCCTTCCACTTCCCCTGTTAGGCAAATACTCTACCACTGAACCACATCCCCAGCCCTTTTTAAAAAATAGTTCTGTGTTGAGATAGGGTCTCAGTAAGTTATCTAGGCTGGTCTTGAACTTGTGATACACCTGCCTTAGTCTCCTGAGTAGCTGTCAACTACTGCTCCTTGAATGTATCTTGTTTTGTAAAGTACATATCTGTTCAAATCTCTTATTCAGTTTTTTTTTTTTTTGGTACCGGGGATTGAATTACTCAGGATTTTTTTGGTACCAAGGATCGAACTCAGGACCTTGTGCTTGCAAGGTGGGCATCGGAACCACTGAGCTAAATCCCCTGCCCAGATTACTCAGGTTTTAAAAATTAGTTATCTTACAAATTGTAAGAGTTCTTTTATTTTGTAGATGCATACCCTTTGCCAGGTTTGTGTATTCAGACTTTTTCTGGGATTATTTTTATTTATTTATTTTTTTGCTGATTTTGTTTGCAGTACTGAGGATTGAGGCCCCACCTTCACACTGAGCTACATCCCTAGCCCTTGTATTTTAATTTTAATTTTTTAATTTTTAATTTTTAAATTTTTTTTCTGGTACTGCGGATTGAACTCAGGACCTTGCACTTGTGAGGTAGGTGTGGCACCACTGAGCTAAATCCCCGGCCCTTATTTTTATTTTCAAATTTTGAGGTAGAGTCTCACTGAGTTGTTCAGATTGGGCTTAAACTTGGGATCCTTTTGTCTCAGACTCCTAGAGTGCTGGGATTATAGGAGTGTATCCCCACACAAGGTAAATGTTTTTATTTTATTAATGGCATGTTTCAAAAAGCATACATGTACAATTTTGAAGTAGTCTTAATTTATATCAGTGTTTTCTTCAATGATTTTTCTGTTTTTATCAAAGAAATCTTTCCTAAGATTGTAAAGTTTTGTGTATGTGTTTTCTTCCAGAAGTTCTATAATTCTAGCTAGTTTATTTCTATATTTGACTTTTTTTTTTTGAAATAGGGTCTTGCTGTGTAGTCCAGGGTGGCCTGGAAATCACTATGTAGCCAAGGCTGGCCTTAAACTTGCCAGTCTTCCTATCTCAGCTTCTCAAATGGTGGGATTATAGGTGTGCTCCACCACACGCAGTTTATATTTGATCTTAGTTACACTTTATCAAAGTGATCTATATATACAGAAAAGAATATTTTGTAATAAGTAGCATTAAAGAGAAAAGTAGAGTCTTAAATCTCAGGATATCTTTTAGTTAAGCAGGAAAAGCTTTATTTTGAGCTCTATAGGAGCCAGTGAACTGGCAGCAATGTCATATTAGTGTTTACAATTTTTTTTTTACAAATTGTTAACTACTATTTTCAAAGTAGTTAAAATGATCTTGAAAATATCTTGAAAGAGTGTTTAAGACATTTTCTTTTCTTAGTATGTTTCTGTCTCATCACTTTTCATGTGGCTGAGGCACAATACCTGATACCTGCAGCTTAAAGGAGGAGTTTATTTTGAGTCACACTTTATAGAGGTTTCAGTCCATAGTCGGCTGGCTCTAAAGCAGGATGGCATGGCACAGGAGAGCACCTCATGGCATGATTGTGGAGAAGCAGAGAGAACTCAAAGGAGGAGCTGGGGAGGGAGATTAAATCCTGCCAGGCCACATCCCCAGTGAACCATCTCTTCCATTCAGATCCCTCCCCTTAACAGCAAGTCAGCCATAAGCCCCATAATCCAGTCACCTCCTAAAGGACCCACCTATAGGCTGTGAGGCTTGAGGGGGACATCCAGATATAAACCATAACAGCCTCTTATAAAAGTTTATTTCGAAAGATAAGATAATGTGAAGATACACTGTAGTCTGTTGGTTTCCAAAGAACTTCAAAATAATTTTATTTTTATTCTATTATAATCATTTTGTAGGCACTTTGCATGAATTCATTCAACTGATAACAACTCCCAGGTGAATTTATGTTTCCATTAGTTCCTTTCTTCTACTCTAGTTTCTGGATTTCTTTTTAAAAGAAATATGATCTATCTCAAATGTGTGCCATTGATCACAAGGGGAGGACTGGAAGAAGTTTATCTGAAGTTTGTGAATTAGAGTGGCTAGTATATGTTTGTGTGTCTTCTTTTGATGAAAATATTTCTGTATTTAAAATATTTGGAATTTTTGAAGAAACATTAGACAAAAGAGTTTTAAATGAATAAATCTTTTATATTACATTTAAAGTTTTAGCTAATGCTGTAAAATAGATTCTAAGCAATTTGAACTAGCAAGTTATTAAGTTATAAGATAGGACATTTCAAAATTTTTAATATAGAAATGTTCAGTGTAATTTTACAAAATTATTGAAGCATTTTAATGACAAGTTGAAATTTTGAAGCAAAATGTGGCCTCTGAAGTGATTTATTAAATTTAAACCAAAACTTTATTTTCTAGGTGTTCATTGTACCCATGGTTTCAATCGCACTGGTTTCCTCATATGTGCCTTTTTGGTGGAGAAAATGGATTGGAGGTATTTCTATTTTGTTATAATGGAAGAACCTGTATTTAGTAGTTGATTAAATTTTTTGTTGTTATTTTAATTGTAGCATTTTATATTGCCAAGTTTTAAAACAATTTTTTTTATTGTCAGTATGTTTTTGATACATAATAATTACATTCATTTCATTTCGGGGAATTGTTATACATATCACAGTGTTGATCATTTTTACCTCTTCTTTCCCTTACCCTCCATATATTGTCACGTTTTTTGAACTCATAGTATAATTTAAAATGGTTTTCAGTTTGAATACGGTTGGTCTTTAGGGTAGTGTTACCTGGTTGTTTTATACTAAGTAGCATTTTAGTTGAGTGTTTATGAATACCATAAACTGTGTTTTCTTTTCCATTTTTTTCTCTCATACAGCATTATCAGAGACAGGCTCTTTCAATATTTTGTGCTTGTGTTCAGCTTTGGAAATTTGTATTGTTCTTTTCCTTTTAACTAGTGTCTTTTTCTTTCCCTCCCCCCCTTCTCTCTCCCTTCCTTCCTTCGTTTCTTTCTCTTTCTCTTTCTCTCTCTTTCTCTTTTGCTCTCTCTCTCTCCTTTCTTTGTCTTTCTCTTTCACTTTTTCTCTCTTTCTCCCTCTTTCTCTCTCTCTCTTTCTCTCTTTCTCTCTCTTTCTCTCTCTCTCCCTCTTTCTCTCTCTCTCTCTTTCTCTTTCTCTCTTTCTCTTTCTCTTTTTCTTTCTGACAGAGTCTCACTCTGTCATTCAGACTGACCTTAAACTGTGTCTTTAGCCCAGGCAGGCCTCGAACTCTTGTCAGTCCTTCTGCTTCAGCTTCCCAAGTGCTGGGATCAGTCATTTGCCACCATGCCCTGCTTAATTAGTGTCTTTTCTATAACTGTTGAATACTAGGAACAATTTGGAATGTTACATGAAGGAAGTGTTTTAGGGACAAGTTACTCCCTTTAAGCCAATTGACATGTTTTTATTGAACTCTTGTTAATTGTGAAGTAAGCTTTTAGATCCTAAGAGATTAGAACCTTAGTTATCTGAAATTCCTAAGAGAATGGGATATTATTAGCTGAATTTTCTTACTGACTGATTGAGAGTCGTTGTTTATGTTACAAAACCTGTCGCACAGTAGTTCTTTTTCTGAATATAATCAACCAAAGTACACATCTGATTTTACCCTTTGCATTTTACACACCCTCAGTGGTTCTCTAGTGCCTGGACTTCCTAGCTGTAGTCATTCAGATGTTTCACTCAACATTCCCAGGCTCCAGTGCAGACTCAGCCTGTGCTTACCTCTCTCTTGTGACCCTGTACACTTAGTTCTTGGGCCTGTTGAACATTTCTGAAAAACCAACATGCTTTTAATCTTGCTCACATTGCTATTCATATTTCTTTGACTGCACTTTTGTTCTTAGAGTCAGACCTTAAGCTAAGACTTTAAATTCTTCTTCAGAGATCCTACCTGGATTTCTAGTATGTACTCAAAATAGTACTTTTAGAGTTGAGGAATTATAGTATTAGTATATCTTATATTAAAACTGTTTCAGAATGAATTTGTCCCTTACCAATTGAATGCCTTTAGGGTGAAGACTGGTTTTTCCATTTTATAAACCTGTATTATACATTATATGATGACTTGAATATAAGTGAGTTTTGATAAGTATGTATAAATGGAGAATAGTGAGGAAATTGCATGGTGTTTTTTCCCATAGTATTGAAGCAGCAGTTGCTACTTTTGCCCAAGCCAGACCACCAGGAATCTATAAGGGTGATTATTTGAAGGAACTTTTTCGTCGTTATGGTGATATAGAGGAAGCACCACCACCACCTGTATTGCCAGATTGGTGTTTTGAGGATGATGAAGATGAGGATGAGGATGAGGATGTAAAAAAGGAATCAGAACCTGGGTCAAGTGCTTCCTTTGGCAAAAGGAGAAAAGAACGGTTAAAACTGGTAATGTTTAAAAATACTATAATATTCTTTATCTTCTATCTATAAGCTTATTGAAATTTAGAAAAATGGGATGCTGGCCATGTTTGTTCCTTAATTAGTTTTGTAAGGTTATTTCATTCTGGCTATTTCTAAAAATTCTTGAAAACCTGGAGTCTGTCTTTTTTAAGTGAAAAATTGTAGTTATGAAAGTCATCCTAGTTTTGTTTTGCTGGATAAACAGAAGAACTCTTGAGACAGAGTCTCTCCACCATGACTGGCTTGAACCCAGGCTGGCTTGAACTCATGATCCTGTTTTGTCAGTCCCGAGTGCTGGGATTACTTGTGTGTACCACCACACTCAGCTAAGAATTCTTAGATATTGGATTGAGAATTTATTATTTCTTTACCAACTATTTTGAGAGTCTAAATAAATGTCTAGTGAGAATTTTACTAATACTTTACAAATTGTCACACAATTAAAGGGAGTTTACATATAGATATGACTCTCTTTTCCATGGGTGGTATTTTCTTTTTCTTTTTTTTTTTGGTACCGGGATCGAACTCTCAGGACCTTGTGCTTGCCAGGCAGACACGTGCACCACTGAACTAAATCCCCAGCCCTTATGGGTGGTATTTTCATACTTTCTCTAAGTTGAACTGAGAAGTCTCATTTTCTTTCTAGCTAACCTTTATTAATCTTCTGGAAATAAAACCTACCAAAAATAGTAGGAGTTACTCCTTTTCATGGGGAGATAAGAGGAAATGTTGAGAAATACTGCTTATATTTGTACATACACTGTAGTAGGGCAAAGGGAGAATTGAGGGCAAGTATAGAGGAAATTGTTAATGAACTTAGTAATTAAGGTTATACTATAAAGGTTGAGCAGTGACTACTTAAGTCATTTGTTAGTAGGCAGTGGTTCATAGGCAAGGGTGAAAATGCCTTGATTACTTTATATAAATCATTTAACAATTATTTTAAAGTTCCTTATTGGGAAAACATTTTTAAAAATTGTATTTATACATTTTTAATCTTAAAGACCATAAAGCCACTAGAAAGTGTAAATTGCTTTGAAATATAGAAATAATTCCAAGAATAATTTATTCTTTTAGTTTAACTTACTCTACTGGTTTTTGGATATAGATATTAAAAATACTAAATCATAGCTATAAAAGTAATCACATTCTAAGGAAAATTGAATGAATAGTTTAGCTTAAAATATAGATATGATTATCCTCATATGATATAATTTTTATATGAGAATTCAGATTTTTTGAGGCAAGTTCTCACAGTGTAGCCCAGGCTGGCCTTGAATTTGGTAGTCCTTCTGCCTCAGCCTTTGGTATGCTGGGATTATAGGTGTGCATGACCACAGTGGGCTTCAGTTATGTTTTTAAAAACTAACATTAATCACAACCATATGCCAAACATATTTTGAATTATGTAATATTTGATTCTACGAAAGTTTAAAACAAAGAGTTATTAGTTTACAAAATGGTATAAATTTAAAGGGCTTTTTCCCTTGTCATTAGAAAGGGCCTTAAAAAATAACATCCATTTTATATTGTTAAATGCTGTTAAATTCTGTCAGGTTTTGCTTTTTATATTTTGAATTGATATTACTTGGTACATACAAATGTACATCTATATCTGATTCATATACATGTAAATATATATGTCATATCAGTCCTCTTGACTCAGGGTCATAGAGTGCTGACATGGGCATACTGTCTCTCGTGCTCCTGTTCTTCCCCCATATATATTCAGATATGATTGTTTTATCTTCATAGTGTTTTTATCATTATGAAATATCTAATACTAATATGGTTGTGCAAACTTTCTTTTGGACTGCATTTACATGGACTATTTCTTATCCTTTCAACCTTCAGAGTTTTTAAAACAGTGTATATCTTGTGTCATGTTGCTGGGTTCTGTTATATAATAAGCAGCTTTTGCACTGTTATTTAGTCCATATACTTTTAGTATGCTGATAAAATCAGATCTAGACTTTTTTTGAGGTGGGGGGAATTGAACCTAGGGCCTACACAGTGAGCTACATCCCTTTCTCTTCATTATTTTTTATTTTGAGACTGGGTCACACTAGTTAGCTAATTGTCCAAATTTGGCTCAACCTTTCAGTCCTTTTGCCTCAGTCTCTAAGAGTACTGGCATTCTGGACATGTACCACCATCCCTGGCCTAAATTGTCTTTTTTTTTTCCTGTTCCTCTTATGGTTTCTTTTTATCTTCCTTTCTTTAAAAAGGGTTATTTTTATTCTATCATTTTAGTGTTGTTGATTACATATTCCTTTATTCATTTTTTAAAGAATTGCCCAACAAGTCAGTGTATGCCTTTTGACTTACTAAAGGCTAGTATATATTCGTACTTTTACCACTTTTTAGACAATACAAAAGTCTTAAAAGCTTTGGTTTTGTTTACCTCTTCCTCCCTTTTTTGGTATTGTATATTTTAATTCTGTATATATTATGAAGCTCATCAGAGATTATTATTTTTTACAGTATATAACCAAGTTTTTTTTTCTGGTACTCTTCATTTTTTAATGAAAATTGTGTTTCCATCTGGGGATAGTTTTTCATCTAACTGAAGAGTTCCCTTGGTATTTCTTTAATGTGGGTCTGTGATGACACCTTCACTTAGTATTTGTGTGAAAAGATCTTTTTATTGATATCATTTGGAGACTCTTTGAGTATGAAAATCTGAGTGCTTGGCAGTTATTTTTTTCTTAGCACTTTGAAGATACCATTCCATAGTGCATTTCTGTTGAGAAATCAGCAGTCATATTTCTTCTTTGAAGGTTTCTTTTTGTTTTTGATTTTCAACAGCTTTACCATGATGTTTCTACTTGTGATTTTTTTTTTTTTTTTGTATTCATCCAGCTTGATGTTTGTAGGATTTAAAAATCTTTGGATTTTTTTTTTTTAATTGGACAATTCTTGGTTCTTGCCTTTTCAAGTATTGATTTAAATTTTTTATTCTCTTGGAACTCCATTTAATGCAATAAACCTTTTTTTCTTAAACCATGTCTTAAGTTCTTTATGTTTTCCATCTTTTTGTTTCTTCATTTTTCAGTTTAAATATTTTCTTCTGCCTACCTTTAAGTTTACTAATGTCCTCATTTGCTTTGTCTGAGCTGCTGTTAAAACTTACCCACTGAATACTTAATTTTACTTTTACTTCTGAAGTTTCCATTTGATTTTTTAAAAAATGATGTTCAGTTTTCTGCTGAAATTCTTCATCTTGTTATTTAAGTTCTTGATTTGGGGTTGGGAGGTTCTGGGGATTGAACCCAGGGCCTTAACACTGAGGTACATCTCCAGAACTTTTTTATTTTTTATTTTGAGACAGGAACTCACTAAGTTGCTTAGACTGGGCTTGATCCTTCTGTCCCAGCCTCCTAAGAGCTGGGATTATAGACATGTGCTACCATGCCTGGTTCTAAGTTCTTCAACATTTTTATTTCATTTTAAGGTGTGTGTTAGATAACTAATGTGGATATCTGATTAACCTTTTTTAGTTTTTTTAAATTTCTTTTTGATTTTGTGTCATTTGTAGTTTTTTTATACTTGAGTATTTTGGTTGAATTATTAGACATTTATGAAAAATGGGAATAATCTGAGGCTCTGATCATGTTGTCTTCCTTCAGAGAGGATTTACTTTTGTTCCTACACAGGATTTGAGCAGAACATGACTAAATCAGGAATTGAACTGTTTAGACTCTGGTCTTTAGTTTGGGGGTAGCTGATCTGTTTTTGGTTTATTCTTATTTCTAGAGCTTTTTAGATTGTCTCATATGTTTATTTTTTGTTTGCTTTACCTAATATTTTTGAAATAGTACCTCTGGAAAAAAGTACCTGTCTGGAATTTTCTTTCCTCTGAGTTTTTGGCTCTTCAAGTCCTTACTACTTTTCTAATTTCTTGATATCTTCAGTGGGTGCTTTATTCTACATTTTGTCCAGCTTTTCATGTGGTATACAATTAGTGTAAATACTCTAGCTTGCCATTGCCAAAAGCAAAAATGTTTCTTCCATTTTAGAGAAAACAATTAGGGTTGTTTATTGACAGTTGAAGAGATAGTAATTTTTGAGAATACTGTATTTGTGCTTGTACTTCCAAAGGCAGAGTTATAAAAAAAAAATTCTAAAGCCTTCATGTAGTATTTTCATAGATTCCCCCTCTTTTCAAAACATAATTAATAAATACTAGAGTTACTAAATTTTTTAACTTATTGAAGCAATACAATTATATTAAATAAATATGAAAGCAAAACCTATATATTTAATTTAAAATATATACAAATGATATAAAGGTAATTTTTCTTTGAAAATAAAAATCTGAAAATCTTGAGTATATAGAATTAAAATGAAAGCATCTACTTACTCCCATTCCAATTGCTCTCTGCTTTTTGGTTATTCTTCTATGTTAGTTTTTCCATGCATTTAAATATGTATTCACTTATCTCTACCCCAACATAAATGTATTTTTCTACACCTTCATTCATTACTTGAATATTTTTTTTTTTTGGAGTCAAGGTCTTGTTATGTTGTCTAGGTTGGGCTTGAACTCCTGGGCTTATGTGTTCTTCCTGCCTTAGCCTCCTGAGTAGCTAGGAATTAGGAAACAGTTGAAAAGGCAAACAATATTTCTTTAGAAGATCAGAGAGGCTATCGGTCTATACCATAGTGGCAAGCTGTTAAGAAGAACCAGACAGAGACCTTGGAAATGATAGTCAAGATTAAAAAAAAAAATCCCAAACACTCAGTAAGTAGGTTGAATAGCAAAGTGAAGTTAACCAAAGAAATGATTATGCTGAAGGATCTAGCTAAGAAATTCTTTAAGGAAGCCAGGCATGGTGGCACATGGCTGCAACCCCAGCATTCGGGAGGCTGAATCAGAATTGCCATGAGTTTGAGGTCAACCTGAACTACACAGCGAGACCCTGTCTTTAAAGGAATTCTTCAAGGATGCAACACAATATGTAAAATATGAAAACAGTTTAGAATTAAAATATAGTGAGTAAATTAACAGTATGATGTTTCACAGAGAGAGAAAATAAGAATAGAAAGTATCTAGGGTTTATTTTCTGTGGTGCTTTGGCCTGGGTCAGAACCTATAGAATCTTTGCCAGCTACACTTCCAATAGAAGATTAGTATCTAAAAATATATAAAGAACTCAAAAAAGTATCACCATAGTCAAACAGCCCAACCAATAGATGAGTAAACAAACTGAACAGATACTTCTCAGAAGGAGAAGTACAAATGGCCAAGAAGTTTATGAAAAGATGTTTAACATCTTTAGCCATTAGGGCATTGCAAATCAAAGCTACATTGAGATTCCTTCTCACTCCAGTCAGAACGGCTATCATCAGGAATACAGAAAACAGTAATTTTGGCAATGATGCAGGGGGAAAAAGAAACCCTTCTACACTGCTGGTGAGAATCTAAATTAGAATAGCTACTATAGATATCAATATGGAGGTTTCTCAAAAAACTAAAAATGGAACTACTGTTTGACTCAGCCATAACTCCTTGGTATATGCCCGAAGGAATTAAAAAAAAAAAAAGTCAGCATACCATAGGGATACCTCTACACTCATGTTTATTGTAGCACAATAAGCAATAGCTAAGATACGGAACCAGCCTATGTGCCCTTCAACAGATGAATGGATAAAGAAAATGTAGTATGTATATACACTGGAGTATTATTCAGTCATAAAAAGAATGAAATTTTATCATTTGTAGAAAAATGAAGGAATCTGGAGATCATCATGCTGAGTAAGGTAAACTAGACTTAGAAGGACAAATATCACATGCTTTCCCTAATATGTGGAATCTATAAAAGATGGCAAGAAAGTTGAAGGGAGTCAATTATTGGACAAGAGGAAGGGAAGAAGGGGGAAGGGTGTAAGGGCGATTAATGAGGGGCATAAATATGATCAAAACACACTGTCCACATGTGAAACTGCAGGGGAGGGTGGGGCAAGGGGATGTTGGGGGGTGGGAAAAGATTAAGGTATGTTGTGTGTATGTACAAAATCTGCCAAAATGAAAGCCAAGTGTGGTGGTGCGTGTAATCCCAGCTCTTGGGAGGCAAGGCAGGAGGATCACCATGAGTTTGAGGTCAGTTTAGGCTACATTGTGAGTTCAAGGCCAGCCTGAACTTCACAGTGAGACCCTTTGTCAAACAAAACAGGTCTGCCAAAATGAAATCCATTAATCTATAATGAATATATGCTAATAAAAAATGTAGGAAAAAAGAGGAAAAGAAAAAGAAGCTAAGGTAAGTGTGTAGTTGCATGCCTGTAATCTTAGCTATTTGGTAAGCTGAGGCAGGAAGCTAGTCAATTTAGCCAGACTTTGTCTCAGAATAAAAAGACTGGGGTAGTTACTCAGGGCAGAACACTTGCCTACCATTTACAACATCCCAGGTTAAAACTCTAGTCACACACACACACACACACACACACACACACACACACGCACACTAATTGAGGGTAATAAAGTAGAAACAGTTATGTTAAGGATTCTTAGTGCCACCCCCATGTTAGAAGATTTGCTAGAAGTACTGAAGGTTGGTTAACAGTTGTACTAAATAGCTCCTGTTTATTACAAAGAAGTACTAAGATTCTGCAGCTGAGTTATAAGGCTGGTGGAGTCTGGAAGAGCCCATGTGCAGGCTTTCTTATGCTCTCCCCTCATGAGGATTTTTGTCAATCTTCCTGCAGCAACATGTGTGTGATATTTCTGCCCAGGGAAGTTCATTAGATTTTCAGTGAGGGAGAATAAATGTGACTGCTTGTTGTAGACCATAGAAAAAGCTTTTTAATGCAATATAAAACCAACCATTTTATTAGTTGTGGGTAAGAAGCTTGTGTAATCAGTGAAGTTGAAAGCAAAGGTTGGGAAATATATGATAGAAAAACCTCTGAGGAGAAAATGGAAAGGAGGTCAAGAGCAGTTGCAGAAATAAGTTTTCAGCAAGAGAAGGGAAATAATCATTCTCAGCACTGATGATGCTATCCCTCCCCTCCCCTGTAAGTTTCAGCTGCCTATATGTGTGAGTAGGGAAGACTCATTATTCATGGTTTGGATATTTAGTATGAGTATGATGCAAGAACAAGATGGTAAGAGGTACTGAGGGTATTGGGGGGAAAATTTAAGTGATCAGGCATAGGATCTAGGCTGAATAGTATGTGATGTCAGCATGAGGAAATTGTTACATTATGAAAAGGAAGGAATGAAGGGACTTGGTAAAATTGAAAATAGACATAGTGAGAGTAAAATAATTAAGCTATCTAATATTAAGAGGTCAAAGAATATGATGTTGGTTTTGGAGGGTAGTGGGGATTCAGTGTGATATGAATTGAAACAAAATGTAGGGGTAGTCTAGAATGATGGTAGTATGGCCTTGGAACAGGTTGTTCGAGTTGGTCAAAAAGGGCATTGAAAATGACTTTACTGAACTGTGAAGTCTAGCTTGTTTGATGGGTCAAGCTATCTCAATGGATGTTGATGTTACCAATAACAATATTGATAGTAGTTAGAATGATGAGAAAAACTGATTGCTGTTGATGAATATGGGGCAGTATCCTTTAATATTTGATGGATAGAGGGTTTTATTAGTTTAGACTCTGGTTGGAAGTAGAGACTAACTCAGACTACTTAAGTAATATAAGAATTTTTCAGGAGTAAATGGGTGGAGCTCAAGCACAGGAATGTAGTCAGACTTCAGGACAGTACTAGAGCCTGGACCTAGAAAATTACCTAGAACCTAGTTGCTATTATTTCTTCTTAATTTTTAAAAAATAATCTCTGCTTCTCTCCTTTTGTTTGTATCAGTATCTTTACTGTATCTCAAGACTAGTTCTTTCTGATTGCTTATTCGTCTGGGAGATTATAACTGTCTGAAAGCTTTTTAACCTGTAATGTTATAATTTTAGCAGAGACTTAAATACTCTACTTGACTCTGAATTCCATTTCCAGATTACCAGGAGAGAGAATGGGTCCATATTGAGTTAGGGGTTCATCCATACTCTCATCAACATTGGCTGGAGTGGGATGTTATCTTGTAATGTCATGTAACACAGCTGTTAGTGCCCCATGTTTAGGTTGAGAGTGTAGCTCTTAAGAGTTATTATGTCACTGACCACAGCGAATGTCTGTGTTACCACACCTGAGTGATATAGTAGAATAGAGCTAGCCTAAGTGGAAAAAGACCTTTTAAAAGAGCTTAGGAAAGTGGGGAGGATTTAGGAGAGTACTTCATACTACCCTAATGGGCAGTGGGAGAAAGTAGCTTGAAGAAAGAAATGGTCTCCTTGGGGAGAGCTAGCTTTTGGTTAAGATACAGTCAAGCATTCAGCAAAAAAGGGGATAGTTATTTATGAGAAAAGGATTCCAAGGTTTACATTAGAACTTTTTGGGAAGATGATCAGTGATTAAATAAAGCAAAGATCTAGGCCCAAAAGCGGTGAGGACAAAAGCATCAAAGAGGAAAGGTGACTAGATGGTTGAATCATGGGTGATGTCAACAGTAGTTGACATATGGTGACAGGAACGAGAAGCCTAGAGGCATGTAATTAACTGGTAGATAATTTATAATAAAACTTTCATTTACATTTTCTTTCCATTTGGGGTTGAAGATTGTTAATAAAGGTGAGGCAGTTAATTTTATGTAACAAACATCTTTTGCCATAATGGAGTCATTTTGATTTGGGTCTTCATTTGTCAAATAACTTCTTGTTTTGATGTAATTATGATTTGAAGTAATGGATTTCTTATAGTTAATTCTGGCAGTTCTCTTCAGGTTTATAACTATACAGTGCTTGACCCCTTATATTTTTAAGATACTTTATTTATCTTTTAAAGACATGACATTACTGAGTTAAGTATGGCTTACAATTAGGGGCAGAAAGGTGGACCACTGTTGTCTGGAAGGACTTAGGGACTCTCCTAGAGATGACAAGGATGTATGTGGACTACATATTAAATGTTCTTGTTTTTCTCTCTTCCACATGGCTCGAGTTGCCAAGTCTTTCCCTGAAGGCTGATGTTTGAAGATTATAGACCATGTTTTTAATACTTTAATTACATTAACAGCTAGAATTGTTTTATAGATTTTTCTTGAGACTGATACCAGCCCTTTTTGGGGTCTGAAAGTAATTAGGGTGTAAATTGAGACTATTGTTTTAGTCTTTAAAATTTCCAGAAGTGTTGTTTGATATATAAATTCTCCATCTGTTTCAGTGCTCTGTAATATTTCAAAAATGTGCTTGCTGTGAAATAAAACACTTTATGTAATTCTGAGCTAAAGAATTTAAATTAAAAACTCAGTAATGTGTAATGCTGTTTATGTTGATATGTCCAGTGACTGTGGCTTAGCCACTTTGCCCACTGGTATACTCACTCTTATAGTTTACAAGGGAGTAGACTTTGGTTATGTTTCCCCTTAAATCCTGTACTCTGCCAATGACACAACTTTTCCTGCCTCCAACTGGTGAATGGTATAAATACTGACCTGGGGTCAAATTTTGCCATTTATCCCTTGAATAAATAAAATCTTTGCGCTTCATTTATTCATATGTGAAGTAAATATAACACAGTCTACTTTTCATAGTTGTTGCAAGGATTAGAGACAATGTGAAGTGCAGATATCCTGCTTGGCTCTCAGTAGTGGTAGATAAATTATAGTTACAGTACTTTATGACTACTGAACATTGCCAGTAGAGGACTTTGACAACATGATGCAGATACTGTACTAGGCTGTGTATGTACATTGTCAAATAATATTCTGGATTAAGGAAAACTAGTGTATAATTCCAGGGGAGTTTATAAAGCTTCTTGGGACAGATCATTTCGGTTTCATATATTGATTCACTCAGATTTATGGAACTAAACCAGTTTATCTCTTCTTTGTAAAGGGATTTGACCTATAATAAAGTGTTTTTCTTTTCCTTTTTTTAAAGGGTGCTATTTTCTTGGAAGGTATAACTGTGAAAGGTGTTACTCAAGTAACAACGCAACCAAAGTTAGGAGAAGTACAGCAGAAGTGTCATCAGTTCTGTGGCTGGGAAGGGTAATAAAGATTTTAAAGTTTTAAATAAAACATTATTACTCTGCAAAACTTAAAATTAGTGCAGACATTCACATAGCTTCTTTGGTTCTTAAAGTTTATATGTTTATATAGAGTGCTTAAAAAGATGTCAGATTTTTTCAAGATAATCCGTGTAATAATCAGTTGAGTCAAAATTAGATGACTCACAGTTTTCTAAAGCAATACAAAATTACCATTGTCACTATCTAATATTTATTTTATGTCTTTGTTTCTACTGCTGCTGATTAATGTTTGGGCTGGTCTTAACAATTTATTCAGGAAGAAGAGGTGAAACTTGAATTTGCCTTATTTTCTAGTGTTTCTATAATCTAGAGCCTGGGAAAGTCAGCTTTAAATATATTCTGTTCCCTACCATGTCTTGAAAATACTTAGATGACATTTCATGGGAAAGGATGTGGGAGAGAGTTTGTTGGTCTGATCTGTTGCTTTCAGGTCTTGGTCTGTTCAGAAAATTATAGCTCAAATACAAGGAATCAGGAATAAATTATTTGTTAACGTTTCCATGTACAAATTCCTAATAGAGAACTTAGCTAGAAAATTAGAAATTAGAAATTAGCTAAAAAAAATTTTAACTAGAAGATAAAAATAATGAAGAAATAATATTGGCCATAATGAAAAAAAATATTGGCCATAATGTTGTATCACACCCTTGCCAATGTACCTTAACGTTAACCTACATTTCTTCTTTTTTGTCGCTTCTGGGCATGTTTGGAATAGAAATTTGCCAGCTTTGTACAATTATGTCATGGAAAAATATGGGGTCTAGAATAATGTAAGATAATTAAGCCAAGATTTAAACTTTTTCCTGATGTTAAAGACTTGTAAACATACCTGCTTTACTACTTACTGTGGGCATAATGATGTTTTTAAATTAGTCCAACAATTAAAGTATAGCTGTGGCATGTTAGAACTCTGTAAGCTTATGTTCTAAAATGTCAGTGACATGTCTTCTGTTGACATTTTTGTGAAAGCTGACATTATTCCAGTTGAAATTAATGTCACAACAAGGAGAACACTGATAAATGCATGACTCATTGGAGATTGGTTTAAGATATGTATTGCTTTCTATGGATATCAACCATAATAGTAATAAAATGTTATGTTTTAAGGTCTGGATTTCCTGGAGCACAGCCTGTTTCAATGGACAAGCAAAATATTAAACTTTTAGAGCAGAACCCATATAAAGTAAGCTGGAAAGCAGATGGTACTCGGTGAGTGAGACTCTAAAAACAATTTATACAAGTAATCATAATGCTTGAAGAATATTGCACGTTGTGAGGGAGAATTTGCACTCTTGGGCATAAGAATTTCAGACTTAAACAGTGAAAGAAGCATCTTTCAAAAAATTGCATAGTTTTTGTTTTGTATTCTAAGCTAATATAGTAATGTAGTTCTTTATCATTGTAAGTTTTTGGTTCTAGAGTTTGACAGAAATCTGTACTAGATGTTAAGTATGTTAAGTTTGGAAACATTTTCTGTTAATACAGTTTTTGCTACTGCCTACTATCTTGTCTTTAATGGTCATGGTACATGTTTAAAGTTAGTAGATACATTGTTAGTTTATAATCTAAAAATGACCGACACTCCCTGATTCATTCTGTATTTTGTTTACATTGTTTTCGTTTTTCTCTTACTTTATTTTTTTATTGTTACATTTAAAATATACATAATAACATTCATCATAGGAAATTTGTACCTGTTCACAATATATCTTGTTCCTTCTTTTTTGCCTTCTTTTTCTCTTAATTTTTACTAACACTTTTTTTTTTTTGTAATTTTATGTGGTATTAATGTTTTTGTATTCTTAGATTCAAACTTCATATACCTAAGCTTTTTTTGATACCAGGGATCGAACTCGGGACCTTGCACTTGCTAGGCAGGCACTGGAACCACTGAGTTAAATCCCCGGCCCATATGCCTAAGTTTTAAAATAGTCATTATATCAACAGTTATTAATGTAATATAAATTTTATACAATTTTCATAATGAAATGTAGAATAATTTGTAGTACATGTATCTATTTTATAATATAGGTTTGAGGATAATATAGGTTGTGCTTCATTTTTATGAAGTTTTTAAGTGTCAAAGAGGCAGTTATAACCTTCATATTATTCTTTATCTACGTTTATGACCCTTAAAGGTACATATGGAGTATGGAGACACAAAGTGGGACAGATTCATCTTAATTTCAGTATTACGTGAATTTCAATGTGATATGTTTTCTAGTATATTGGAGTACTTGGTTGTATTTGATTTTTTTTCTTGTAAATATATAAAATATTTTCATTTCAATTGTCATTTTTGGAAACAGTTTTTCACTTTAATATTTTGTAGCTTTTTGGGGTGTATTTCATGGGTGGGATAGGTTAATTTAAAAAAGCTCAGAAAATACAAACAAAAAAGGAAAATAAAAAGGAATATTAATTTTCTCACATAGAGATAATACTATCAACTACTTCCGTGGTATTGATATTTTTCTTTAGCAGTTACTGGTTTTCTTTTTTTTTTTTTTTTGCTACAGGGGATTGAACTCAGGACCTTGCGCTTGTGAGGCAGGTGCCAGAACCACTGAGCTAAATCCCCGGCCCAGCAGTTACTGTTTTTAATATTAATATTTGGTATATTAATTCCAGTAGTTAAATAGTATGTTTAACATGTGTTTGTTTGTTGACATTAGTTTGAATTTGCTTAAAGAACTAGCTTTGAAAAATGAATATTAATAAATGAGACAAAATTCAAATAACATGGAGATTAAAAAAAAAGCTTGCATTATAGGCTTGGAGGAGTTACACAAAGATGGATACTGTTATAGGGTATGGACAGATAATTTGGATCTTTTAACCCTGTTGTCTGCCCTCGCTGTAGTTAGGATTTTTGAAGGATCAGTGAAATGCTTATTTTTCAGAATGTTAAAATTATATAATTTTTGGTTCAGTAAATTCAGAATCTGTTAAGTATTAACAGTTAAGAATTAATTATTAAGTATTAATAGGTATTAAGAATTAATAGGCATTAAGGATGTTGTTGATAGATATTTTAAAAATAGATACGTAAAAATGATAACAGTTGATGTGTATATTACTTGTTTTTCTTACTCCAGCACTGAAATCAACTGGTTTTCTAAGAGTGGTATTGATTGATTGAGTGAGTGATTGAGCCTGGGTCTCGCCATGTAGTCCAGGCTGGACTTGAATTTGTAGGGACCCTTCTGCTTCCACCTCTCGAGTGCTGGGATTTACAGGGTTGTGCCACCACACCCAGCTAAGAGTGGTAGTTAGAAACTAATTTTTTGGCAAAGAAGGCCTCAGTACTGTACTGTCATTGTTCCTAGTCCTCTCAAAAGATACCTAGGGTGTGTGTATGTGTGTATCTGTGTGCGTGTGCGTGTGAGTATACACATTACATATGTACATTTATATTTATTTCTGTATGTATCTTCATACAGATTATGAGTTGAAAACTTCCAGAGTCCAAGTTAATCTCCTTTCTTATTTGTAGTTCCTCTCTCTAACAGTGAAATGCTTTGTTTTCTTTTTTTTTTTTTCCTTAAATTCTTTTATTTTGGTACCTTTTAAGTATACAGTACATTTACATTTCTCATTGGGAACTTGTACCTTTACATGATGTATCTTGGTTCTTATTTTTTCCCCATTCCCAGCCCTCCCTTCAGCCCCTCCACCCTTCCCTATTTACAAAGACTTTCTTTCCATTTCTCATACTTTTTCCTTTCCCTTCCTTTCCCCTACCCCTCCCACTTCCCCTATCCCTTTGGACCTTTTCTTCCTATTTCACATTATCAATTATTCATTTTAATAATTGATACATTTTAGGTATACAATATAATGACATTCCTCATTGGAAATTTGCACCTTTACATAATCTCTCTTTTTCCCCCTTCTTCTGGCCTCCCTATTTACAAAGACTTTGTTTCCATTTTTCCATTTTCTCGTATTAATTCCATTCCCTTCTTTTCTTTCCCCTACTCTTACCCCTCTGACTTCCCCTTCCCCTTTGCCCCTTTTCTTCCTATTTCACATTATCTATTCTATTTTTAGTCCTTATTTACACTTTCAGTTTCTCACACTAGAGAAACTATTCGGTATTTACACATATGTGTCCTATTTATTTCACTTAAAGAGTATGACCTCAATGTGCATCCATTTAGCTATAAATGTCTCTAATTTCTCATTTTTTATGGCTGAGTAGTACTCATTTTATTAAAAAAACACATTTTCTTTATCCAGTCTCCAGCTGATGGGTATTTGGGGTGGTTCCAAGTTTTAGCTATTACGAATTGTGCTGCTATGAACATGGGTGCACATATATCACTGTGGTATGATTCTTTTAATTTTTTGAGGAAGATACTCAGCAGGGGAATAGCAGGGTCAAATGAGATTTCCAGTCCTAGTTCTTTGAGGTATCTCCATACTGATTTCCACAGTGGTTGCACCAGTCTACACTCC